GCTTAGATGTGACGTGCGCCTCCCTCGAATACCATTTTTACGATTCGGGCGCCTTTAGTAGGTACCAATATCCGTTGTTTCTGTTATAACATAAGAATGGTACATCCACAATTGGCCTAAAATATACAGGTACAGTTTCCTATGGTCCTTAACTACAATTAACATAAAGGATTGTTACGCCCCACAATACTACGTAACGAAGCCAGTGGGTTGTTATGTTAGGGTAGATCGTGGCAGGACCCATTTATAAGCCCTTCATATACTTAGACCTAAGATGGGTCCATTGTATCACCCCTATCATATGAAATAAGCAGATAATGATCTAGTTTTTGGCGTTTCTGGGGCCCAAGCTGTTCCGGACTCCCATATCTGCAATAATCAGCAGGGGCTTTAAATCTGAGCCCTTACTGCCGTTCTAAAGGTCTTATTCTTTTTCAGTTTCCAGCTGTTCTCCGTGCGTAGAGGTTTTCTCCCCGGCACTGGAACTCAAATTTTTTGCAATGTATGTTACCTGAAGTCATATTTAATTTATTAATGAACATCACAGTTTTTTAACAAGATGTATAATCTTTTATAACTATATGTAATTTAAAGGGTTTTTACCCATGTATTTTTGGTGGCTCAGGCATTTTAACCTAGCGATTTTAAACCTGATGATGGACTGTTAAGTCAGAAAACGTTTGTTTTTTTTTATGTAGCCCTTTTAAGGGTTTTTAAATAAATATACCCACTTACGAAGACTAACCTCTTTTTTTTTATTTTTTTTTTTATAATCACAATTTAGTTCTCACAGAAATCCATGTGTCTTTAAGGGTAACTCCCTTATTTGGCTCGGTTGCGTAAAAACCGAAACCCAGGTTTGCCAACTCTGATAGGCCAGTGCGGGACACTTCCAGAGAACTTGTGAAGAAGTTTCCTCCTTATTACAAAGACCTTACCAAAAACCTTTAAACCCTACCCGAGATACTGGAGTACCTTAAACAAAATTAATATTATGATTCTTGGCATTTTAAAGATTTAGCGCTGGCCCTCCATCTACCTTTCTAAAATGCTATTAGGCTCGGCTCAATGTATGTTTCGTTCAGTTGTTCCCGATACGCTACGCTACATAGACATGTTAGGGTACAGTAGTACCCTATGACAAATAAAGTATGACAAATCGTGATTATTATTTTGACGTTGGAATAAGTGCTTCAGGTAAGTTATATTATTTCATAATTCTAGTTGTTATTTGTTGATAAAAATTGTATGTTTTACATACTTAGTTAGACGTATTTTGTATTGCTATAGAATAAAATTATTAATACTCCAGAGTCCAGTACTAGTAGGGGCCAACGACAGAAGTGGTAACGAAAGTATTTGAAACAACATGAGTTGGAAGAAATATTGAAGAAATTTGTCAAAGAAAGTGACCAAGAGCCAGAAGATAGTTCAGAAAGACAAGAAGATGAAGTGATAGAACCTTTTGATATGGACAGGCGTATCTACTTGAAAACTTTAGCTTTGTCACTCATGCAGCCCTACACGAGGGAAAGATTGGTCTGACAAACTTTACCAGTATAGCTTCGCGAAGCTATCAAGTGTATTTTGAAGTAAAGTGGACCTAATAAAATTCAAGAAGAAACTTATGCAAATTCAGTTTCTGAGTGCGATCCCAAAACGTCAGAGCCGAACGAGGTGCAATGTGTGCAAAAAATTCATCTGTCCAGAACATCAATATAAAGTTTGTCCGGGATGTTCTGAAAAACAATAATGTTCATAGAGTTATTAAAACTCGTTAGTTATAATTTGAGTTAAACAGTTGTTTTTAATAAATTCATTCAAACATTACTTTTTGAATTTTTTTTAATGGGTAGTGATTTTTACTAGTGTACCACAGGGTAAAGTGTAAGTTTAAATATGGGTGGGATTTAAAGGTTAAAGGGATGTAAATAAAAAAAGACAATTCTATTGCAAAAATATTTATTTAACGAATACTCTTCAAATTTGCAAAATTATAACTTTTGACTTGACATTCATACAAATAGTTTAGTATCAAAACAGAAAAAATACAAAATAACGTGTTCCATGTTTGATGTAATCCTAGATAGTTTCTCTTGTTCCTGTTAACTTTGTCGCTACTAAGTAATAATGTTTCCTTTCTTCTAGTTTACGGTCTATCTGGTGTCTCATTTTACCACTCTGAGATATCCAAGTAACTTTATGTATATTTTACTGTTTATACAATGTACTTACTATCTTAAAATACATTTTTTCTATATAATGATACAAATAGTATAAAGACAGAAAATATTGCTACAATTTTCTAACACATTATGTACATTATATACATTATACAGTACGTTAAGTTTTCGATTAGATATTGCACACTAGATAAAGCGTTAAAATCTGCAGCATTGCCTCGTACGAGTTAATTGTAATTCTATGATCGCCTCCGGCACCACGACAGAAAATCATCTAATAAATCTTAAAACACATAACACATGGGATGCACATCTCCGTCCTTCCGTCCTCCCACCGTCCAATTTTTTCTGGATGAATTAAAAATAAAAGCGCATTTCTTTAAAAAGATAAAACAAAAAAAAACTGTTGCCTCGTATATACGGTTGCCCCTCACGAATGTTTAAAGCAATAAGAGCGTAGATTTTTAACTTATTTTTGTAACCAACATGTCTGTTTATACGCCGGCAGAAATGGTTCAAATAATAAAATGGTTTCATGGTGGTAATTCTGGACAACAGTGTGTAGATTTATTTTCTGTGTTTTTTGAAGCGAGACCAATTCCTTGCGTTCAGTCAGTCCATAATATTGTTAAAAAATTTGAGAGTTGTTATTGCCTCAAAAATTACAGAAAATGTCACGTTCAAGAAGTGCCCCCAGAAAAAATTGATGAAAGACAATACCGGGATACACAAATTTGAGCAACAATCGAGGTAGATTCAACAAGTAGAAGCGTTGCTAGAGAGTTAGATGTTAGCAATGTTACTGTAACGAAAGTATGGAAAAAGCACAGTTACAAGAATTTTAAATATTCGGAAACGCAGCAGCTTTATCCAGACGACTACTTTTGAAGAATGGAGTCTCGTGAAACTCTAATAACGAAGGCTAATGATAAACCCAATTTTATTAAAAACATTTTATTTTGATGAATCTTTTGCTTCGTTAGTCGAGAGACACAATCCTTCCATTACGAGGTATTGGGCGCGGAAAAACCAGCACAGAAGTGTTGTTTACTGAACTCAACGTCCTCAAAAAGTTAACGTGTGACTGGCATTTTAGGAGACCACATAATAGGTCCTTTTTTTTATTGAGGGCAACTTGAATAGTATAGTATACCTCGATTTGTTGCAGAATCATGTTCTTCTTGCTATTATCAATCTTCCTGATGTATATCTGGAGAATGTTTGGTCAAGACGGCTGTTCAGTTCACAACGCTCGAATAATTAGAGTACTTAAACAATACTTTCCCGACTCGTGTGGTCAGTGGAACAAGCGATATTAAGTGGCCTGTGCGATCTCCAGATCGCCCACAGACTTCTTTTTTGGGAGCATTTAAGAAGATTCATCTACGTTCATCCTGAGGCTAGAGATGAAAATTTGGATGAATTAATAAACCGAATAAGAGAAGTCTCCAATTCTATCACAGCAGAAACTCTTACATCTGTCCACAGAAGTTTTTATTACAGACTGGGGTACTGTTGAGCCGTAAAACTGTTTAGTCGTAGAAGGTCAAATATTTGAATCATTTCTGTAGGGCATAAAGAATTATTTCTTATTTTATTAGGAATTATTTTTTATTTTCAATAAGAGTATATTTTTGTTTTATCTTTATAAAGAAATGCGCTTTTATTTTTAATTCAACCACAAAAAGGAGTTCACCATATTAAAAACCGATACAAATTCACCGCCTTATAATGGTCAGTGTATTTTTATCGAGTTTATGTTATAAGAAATGAACCGGGTATACGTAAGTAAAACATAAATCGACGGACAGAGATGCATATATATATCCCTTGCGTTGTTATGTATTGGTAAATGGTTTTATCGTTTTCTGTCTAGGAGTGTAAGGTGTCGGAGGGGATCGGAGAATACAGGCAATGTTGCCGATTTTAGCGCTTTATGTAGTTTGCAATATCTAATTCAAAACTTAACGTACTGTATATATATATATATATATATATATATATATATATATATATATATATATATATATATATTTACAGTATGGACTAGAACTGTACATTTAACATATGAAGCCAAACTCTAGAACTATATTTACAAGGAAAGAGATCGAAAAAACCCATATATGTATATATATACAGGGTGATACACCTTATACTCAAGTTTGATTATTTCCATTCTCAGAATAGATCTATAAAAAGTATAGCTCCAGAGTGTAAAATAATTTTCAAATATAAGCCATGTTGAATTCTTATCATATTTCTCTTTTTGACTGCTGTACATATGAGGTAATTTATAGTATATATATATATATATATATATATATATATATATATATATATATATATATATATATATATGACTTATACTCTATTGTTTAAAAATTATTCATTATGAATAAAATAACGAAAAAAAGCCCTTAATATACATTAAAGGGTTTTATCTACATGATGTATTGATAATCTCTCAACAAGACTTTGCCATCAACAAATATATATATATATATATATATATATATATATATATATATTTGTTTCACTGTAAAGGTCTGCCTTGATTTAAACCACATGACGATTTTATCTTTATTAAAACACTATTTTGCACTTAAAACAGTGGTATTCCTACGTGTAGCCCCATCTACTTTAAATTGCAGTATTAATATCAATCTCCTTAGCAGGAAACTTTTTTAACTGACAGGTAGATGGCGCTAAAGGCAATAATACTCTGTTAAGTTGAAAATTTGCTGTAAACATGTCACGTCGCAATAATTTAGTTTTTACAAACGGTATGAATTTATTTGTACAACAGTATTATTTTATAAGCACTCAAAACAAAAGTATAATACATCGAAACATCATAATAGCATACTGTAGTTCAGTTAAACTACAGCCATACTGTACACACAACGCGTAAAAATGAAAAACTCAAAAAAAGGCAAAAAAGAAAACATTTGCTAGGAATAAGGTATTAAGGAAAACATGACTTATACTCTATTGTTTAAAAGTTATTCATTATGAATAAAATAACGAAAAAAAGTCCTTAATATCCATTAAAGGGTTTTATCTACTTGTAGATTCAAAAACTGTTTAAAATATGATCTATTGATAATCTCTAAACAAGACTTTGCCATCAACAAGGGAAATAATCTTTGGACTTTAAAAGAAAATAAAAAAAAAAACAGAAAATAATAAATATGAAGTATACATATCACGAAATTTAAAGCATCTGTTCAAGTAAGTTTATGTTATAGGTGAATACACTTCATAAGTCATCGAAAGCCTGAATCTGATACGACTCTTCTCCTGAATATTTACAATTTAGTGTCTATACGTTAATTCAGGCATCCTCCTAATTATTAATGTACCTAAAATCAACCAATATTTGCTATACTTTTGTAATATCACCATCAAGTAGTGTGCTGGGCCACACCATATCACCTTAATTTTTACACTGAAAAGTTCGTCAGACTTATTCAATTATAATTCAGTTTAAAAATTAAAAATATTATTAATCGTCGGGGTAATCATAAAACGAATAACTTGAATACTGCGCGTTACTATTTACATTTGATCCTAGGTTGGTGCCATCCGAAGGCAGCGGGACCGGTAAAGGCCTTGATGGTTTGCGAGGTCGGTATGTTCCTCTAGAACCGGCGTTGGACGGGCCACCTGGTTTTAGACGGGGTCTGCCAGGACCCCGCCGTACTGATGGGGTTTGAGTAGTAGAACCTTGAGAGGAAACAGGAGAGTCCATAAAGCAGGTGGACGGCGATGAATGCATTGAAGATACAGATCCAGATCCCGAATCTGGAGGCGTTTGATCTGAAAATATAATAAAAACATGTCAAATCTAAATAAATTATTTGTTTTTTTGGTTTGAACTTTAGACAATTAACCATAAGTACTACTAATGTGGCTCCGAAACTGCAGACACCGGTAAATTTAAAGAAACGGAGTCAAATTTTATGAAAAAAAATGTTATATTTTAAATTCTGAAGTTCTTACTGGTACTATCGTTTGATCTGTACATTTTAATCAACTTGGATAATGGCAAAATCCAAGTTAACGTATAAACATAGTTAAGTTGTGTTATTTTTAAACCCTTAATTAACACGCTCGAGCATGCCTTCCAATGTTGTACGCGCTCGACTCTGAGACCTAAATTGTGTTTTCAAATTGTATTTGCTCGATTTTTTATATTTGTATATAAAACTGTATAAAAGTACTTACTCTATTATACAACAGATGTACATATTATATGTCGCTATTAGACAATAGATGTCGCAAATTTTATTTTAATGAGTTATTTTATTGTAAGTTCTTTAGAAACTATTCAATAAGTGTAAGTTTCTTTTAGTAAAACCATTGAAAATGAGCAACAGCAAGTCAGAATATAGTACAGGTTGTTTACAACTGTCGTTGTTTTCCTGTCCCTAGTTTCCATCGTTTCCTATCTCGGGTGTTGGCTTCATTTAGCTGTCTTCCTTCCATGGCTTCATTCACGTCATCTCACCAGCTTCTTCTTGGACGCCCTCTTTTCCTTCTTTCGGTTGGGATCCATTTTAATATTTTCTTTGGCCACCTCTCGTCTGCCATTCTGTTTACATGACCGAACCAAGTTAGTTGTTATAGTTTATTCGTCTTCCGGGTTTGGACCGTGTCATTTGTGAGTGACCCAAAAGTGGGTTCATCTCGACGTTTCGCTACAATTGTATGTAGCTTCTTCAGGAGAACAAAGAAAAAGAAAAAGAAGACAGGAAGATGGGTAGTTAGCAACGGTAACTCAGTTACTCAACGCAACCAGAGGCGAATACTAACTACCAAGATGGGCATTTGGTCACAGTAACTCAACTACTCAACGCAGCCAGAGGTGAAAACCTGCTGCGTTGAGTAGTTGAGTTACTGTGACCAAATGCCCATCTTGGTAGTTAGTATTCGCCTCTGGTTGCGTTGAGTAACTGAGATACCGTTGCTAACTACCCATCTTCCTGTCTTCTTTTTCTTTTTCTTTGTTCTCCTGAAGAAGCTACATACAATTGTAGCGAAACGTCGAGATGAACCCACTTTTGAGTCACTCACAAATGACACGGTCCAAACCCAGAAGACGAATGAACTATAATTCTGACTCTGGCCGTGGAAGCCTACGATTTCATTCAAGTTAGTTGTTTTTTCTGGACTTCATCTATAATGTCTTTTTCTTGCTCCATTCTACATTTTATTTCTTCATTGCGGATTCTGTCCATCCTTGTCAATCTACAGCTTCTTCTCATAAAATCCATCTCGGTAGCTTGTAATTTTTTCCTGTTTCTTTTACTAGTGTCCCATATCTCTGCTCCGTATGTTACCACCGGCTCAACCATCGTCTTTTATATTCAGTTTTTCGTCGTCCTTGTGATTTTTTTATCCCAGAGAATGGAGTTTGGGCATTTGGTAATGTTTCTGCCTTTGTTTATTCTTGTATTTATTTCTTCATTGCTATTTCCGTCTGTTGTAAACACTACTCCTAGGTATTTTACTCTATTTGTTCTTTTGATTTTGTCACTCTCCAATGTCAGGTCTTCGACTGTATTTTTCCCCACTGAGAGATATTCGCATTTTTGTAAGTTCATTGTCAGTCCACATTCTTCGTACGCTGTTTGTAGTTTCCTAACCATATAGCTGAGATCGTCTATATCTTCTGCTACCACCAGTTGGTCATCAGCGAAGAATAGTGTATAGAGAATATCCTCATCTATTTGTATTCCCATATTTCTGCATTGTCTTTGCCACTTTTGTAGAGATCGATCCAGATATATTTTAAACAGCGTAGGTGATAAACAACATCCCTGTCGTAGCCATTTCGTAGTGATGAATTTCTCACTAAGTTTGCCACCTATTTTAATTGATGCGGTGTTGTTTACATACCACTTTTGAGTTGCTATTATTAACGAAGGTTTTATTTCCATGTTTTGCATTTCACTCCATAAATTATTTATCGGCACGTTATCATATGCCTTTTCAAGATCTATCAGGGCTATATGTGTTTCTTTGTTGTCGCTTTTCGATTAATGTTTTAAGTGTAAATAGATTATCTATAGTCGATCTTCCAGCTCTGAATCCGCATTATTCTTCTGGTTGTTTCATACGAATGTCTTCTTCTACGAGGTTTCTAAGTATTCGGGAGTACAGTCGTCCTATAGTGAGGATGACAGCAATTCCTCTATAGTTTCTGACATTGTTTCGTGCTCCTTTTATGTATATTGGGGTTATATAGGCCTCACGCCATTCTAACGGGGTCTCTTCTCCATTCAGGCATCGTTGGAACAGATCTTTGAGCATTTCCCACAGTTTAGCTGAGCCGTATTTAATAAATTCTGGTGAGATGTTTCCTGGGCCTGGCGCTTTTTTAAGTTTAAAAGATCTTATCGCTTCTACGATATTTGTCATATTCAATTCAATGAATTCTGATCGTATGTCTCTGTTTGCATTTTCGTATTGAAAATTTTGTCGTCCTTCTTGTAGTAACTGTTTAAAGTAGTCTACCCAGTATTTTTCTGTTATGTTACTTAAATCTAATTTATTGTTGGTTGACGTTTTCATAGATTTTAGCGTTCTCCAGGCTTCTGAACTTTTCGATCCTCCAATCATTTGTTCTATGTATTCGCATTTCTTTTCCCAAGATCTATTTTTCCTTTTTGTTACTTCCGTCTTCACCAGTTTATTTAGGTTTTTATATATTTCTTTAGAGAGGTCGTCTTTTTTATCTAGATATGTTAGGTATGCTTCTTTTTTTTTTCTTTATCATTTCATCTATTCCCTCATCCCACCAATATGGTTTTTGTTTTGCGCGTCTTTGAGTGCCTATTGCCTCTTCTGCTGCTTCTTTAATACTGTGTACTATGTGCTTGTATTCTTCTTCTATTGTTCTATTTTCTATTACCAGTTTTCTATCTAACCTTCTTTGGTATAAATACTGCACGCAGAATATAGTAACCTCTCAGAAAGTGATAGTGAACTTAAGTTAACATCTAAGAAAAGCGACGTTGATCATTTGACTTTGGCTCGAGTTTGGTATGCTATTAGTACGTTACTCGATTCCTGCTCGACTATGATATAGTCCAGGAAAATAAGATTTTTCTCGTGACACTAACCCCTCCAGGCAAACTACAGTTGTTTGAAGGAGTATACATCTGTACAACAATAACTTATATGTTTCCTGCAGTCGGCTCTTTAGACTTATAATATTAACAAATTAAGGTCAAAAAACGATAAATTTTTGCTTTTTCCGTCTTTCAAACAAATTTGAGAGTAATAAAACTTTCAAAATAGCGTTTTTAAATGTTTCTATTTTTATTTTTTGCTTAAAAAGTTGCAAAATAAGTCAGAAAGTCGGTTTTTTTATAAATGTTATTACCTAACTTTTTTAAAAATCAACTAAAACCTTTATTTTACATCAAATGTTATAACTTGTGGTGCTTAAAATATCATAAAATTTAAAAGCCAATCGATCAAATAGCTTAAAAGTTATTTTATTTGTTTATCCCAAATTAAATTTTTTTGCAACAATATAACTCAGATAATAATGAAGTTACAGTAATTCTACAAATAGCTTATGAAAGAAAAATATTTATTCTATTAATATTACTAAAAAAAAAAAATAAGAAAAACACTTTTACATATTGTAAAATCATTTTGCAAAAATATGATGATTTTTGCTTATAATAGAACATACATAAACTACGTAGAGAAGAGGGAGAGGGCACTTTGATATTACGATGCTATACGACGGAAGGAAGGGAACATAAGTGCACATCTGACGTCGTTTGGTGTATTTCAATGTGTCGCTATTGATAAATATATTTTTTACCAGCCTCTACCAGAGGGCAACTAATTAATTATTCTTATTATAATACATTCGTAAATAAAGTTTTATGGTTAATTTTAATAAAATCCAGAAATAACACTTAATTTTTTAAAAAATTGCTGAAAAGTGAGTCACGGGGGAGGGGACATGGAGGAGGGGACATGAGGGAGGGCCTCGACTCTATAAGACACTTTACAACGAAGGAGAGGGAGGGTATAAAGGTTATAAACATGAATGTCTAATATGGATAGAAATGTTCGGAATCAGATAGATTACATCTCTATTAATAAAAGATTCAGGAACACTAAACCAAACGTCAAAACCTATCCAGGTGCCAATGTTTTATCACTTACAATATGTGACGATAGTTACACAAGAAATGTTGCTAACGTAAATAAACAAAAAGAGTGAATTAGTATTTTATCATTCTAAATACTCACCCGGTAAAAAGATACCAGCAGGTCCCGGTGAAGTGGAGACGCAATTATTAGGTAACGTCCGGCCAAGCCCTGTTGTACGGCTTCTAGATCCTCTAGGCCGCCCCCTTCGAGATGATCCTCTTCCAGGAATCCTTGGTTTCACAGTTGTACCGTATACATTATATACAGTATATTCTACAACAAATACATAATAAATAATAGCGTTTACAAGCATGTCCTTATCTACTGCAGGAATTGATATGCGCTACTCTAGGTAACTCTTAAATCTCTGACAAATTTAAGAACTTAAAATTTGAAAGTAAACATTGTCAAGGAGTGTAGGCTTCCACAGCTACTATTTTGTGAAGGTACACTGTTGTTCCATAAGTTTCATGTGCAACAACGGCAAACATTATCAAAGAGTTACAAGAACGGGCATAGATTTGATCTTGTTTATCGTTCTTCTTAGCCACTGATGGTAGTCATCAGTGTTTCTTCTTGTTGTTTTCTTGGTGATAAATTCGATGTCCATTATCATATGTTTGTTTATGTAGTATTCCTCTGTTATTGTCACCTAGATCCTCTAAATAGCTCTTCTCTCTTTTCCTTTTCTACTCTTAACGTGACGATTCTTCCATTCATTTATTTGAAGTCTCTGATGCTAAGTAATAATTTGTTTTATACATAAGAAGCTTATACAATTTTTTCCTTTGTGTTTCGCTATAAAAGAATAAGTAATATTTCACCCGAGTTTTCCCATTTTATTTCTTATACTGCTGTGCATACCTTGTTATCTCTTTCGCTTTTTTATTTTAGCATCGTTTTGATTTTTGAGGTGACTATTTCTGTTTGCTTGTTTTTTATTGTTTTTTCTCTTTCTGTTAGTACAGTCCTCTTTTTTCCATTTGCCAAGGTTATTTTCTTTTCCTGTTATTCCAATCTGCTGCAGTCCGTTTAGTTTACTTGGTCGTTGTTTTTGACCTCCTTACTCTTTTTAGAAAGAGTCGTAATTTCTTCTTTAATTGTTTTTTAACAATAATCGATTTGTAGTGATTAGTAGTATTTAATATACAACAAAACTTGCTCTATTCTACTATCAAATACCTGTTTAAAATCCATGAACATATGATGAAGTTAACGATCACACTCCCAGCATTTTCCATTATCTGTTTTACTGTGAATATCTGGGCAATAGTAAAGCGGCCCGGTCTAAATCCGCATTGATAATCCCCAACGATTTCTGTGTATGTTTTAGTTCTTTTTAGCAGGATATTTGTAAGGACTTTTTAGGTGGTATTTAGGAGCGTTATTCCCCTGTAGTTAATTCAGTGCTTTTGATTTCCTTTTTTGTGGATTGATACAGTAACCCCTTCTTTCCATTCATCTGGCATTCTTCTCGCCAAATGCCTTAAATTAGTTTGTATATAGACATGTACAACGTTTCTCCTCCGTGTTTTAAGCACTATGCTGGTATACTTTGTGGCTTTTTTTGTGGATTGATACAATAACTCCTTCTTTTTGGCATTCTTCTCGCCAAATGCCCTAAATTAGCTTGTTTGTAGATCTGTACAACGTTTCTTCTCCATGTTAAGTACTATGCTAGTATACCATGGGTGCCCGGTGCCTTATTATTTCAAGTTTTTTATTTGCGTGGGTTACTTCTCCGTATGTTGGGTATTGGTCTTCTATTTCACCTGAATGCACTTCTATGTGTGATGCATTTGACTAGATTGGTCGTTGAACGGTTAATGAAAGTATTCCTTCCAGGTATTTAAAATTTCCTTCTCATCTCTAATAAGCTGTCAGCTGTCGTCTTGAAGAAAGCTTCCTGTTATGCTTGCTACCCAGCCTTGATCTCTGAATCTCCTTTAAAGATAGACTGATTTATTGATAAGTGTGTTTCTACCTTCTGATGTTTTTCTAACTACGTATTACAGTACTAAATTAAATGTTTTATTCAGGTCTTTTAATTAGGATAGTTTGGTTTGTTTCTCGGTTTCTTGCTTGCAGGTTCTTTACATGTTTAAGTAATTAAGAAAACATGTACCTACCAATATTTTCAAATACAATATTTAAAACAAAATTTACAACCCAAATTTAAAATAAATTCAAAATCACGTTACAGATGAAAAATACTTACTATTGGTAATAGGCGAATCAGATTCATCATTGTAAATGTCTACGCCGTCATCTACCAAAATGTCATTAGAATTGACACTTAATGGACTGTTAGGCCCACTTTCGACGATACTACTTGCTTCTTCTAACGGTGCCACTGGTTCTTGTTTAGATTTTTTGGGTTCCAAGCCAACTGGTATTGTCTGAAAGTATAATTTCTATGATTATTTAATTTTACTTTCAAAATTAAGGGGCTGGAATGAAATGTCTTAGAATGTTATTGAACGTTTATGTCAGATACAAAATAGACAATATTGCATCGAAAGCAAACCATTTTACTCATTTACTACCGGCACTACCACTTTAATCCTTTTTTTTTTTCATTTTTTGCGTACGTTCTCAAACTTTTGAATTTTGTTGTACGCTGCATCACTTGAAATCTCAATTTCTTCAGCGATAACAGCCCATTCGTCTTTTTGCATTTTGATCTTTATATATTCAGATCCCAATATCCGCTAAGCCTATCGAAGCAGATATCGTCCAGCAATACGTTGGACTGAAGATCTAAAACATTACCATAGGAATTTGATGCAGGAGGCACAACATCGAAAACATATGAAAAATTATGAGGGAGATCTATGTTCAGCAGTGGACAAACGAAGACTTCGAATGATGACATTCCGATTTCCACCTTCCACAACTCAAGGCGTAAATGTATTTCGCTAATAAAATCTATAGTCCAAAAACAACAAATAATCACTAAAAGATAATAAATATTGCAATTATTTTCACTCTCCAAACAATGCTGGTGATAACAAAAATTTCCTTATCAAAATACCAAAACGTCAAACTCATTATTCAGACACATTCAGTTAAATTATCTGGACTGGCCTTGGAATCCCTACGGCCCAGAAATAACAAACGAAGAAGTAACTATAGCCATTAAGCTGATTAAAGATGGGAAATCACCAGGACCTGATGAGGTGCATGGTAAAATGTTAAAACTATTAGTCACACCGAATCACAGCTCTTACGAAGCTATTCAACAACATCTACGAGACTGGTTACTTACCAAAAGACTAGCTACTATCAATATTCATTCTACCTTCTAAAAAAGCCAACGCTAGAAAATGTGAAGAACATAGGTTAATATTTTGATGAGCCATGTACTTAAAGTAGTCCTTACTATCATTCACTCACTCATATACACCAAATTAGAAGAACGCCTGAGTGAAGTTCAATTTGGATTCAGAGCAGGACTCGGAACGAGGGCAGCACTTTTTAGTTTGCAAGTTCTAATACAGAGAGCCAGGGATGTCAACTGCGATGTATATGCATGTTTCATTGATTTCGAGAATGCATTTGATAAAGTCCCACATGGGAAACTAATCGATATCCTAAAAAACATCAGGACTCGATGGTAAGGATATAAGACTGATCTCAAACTTATATCTTCAACAAAAAACAACAGTACGATTAGAAAATGAACAGCCCGAGATCTTCACAGTTGAAAAAGGAGTTAGACAGGGTTGCTATTGTCACCGGCATTATTTAACATATACTCTGAAAACTGCTGTAAATGGCCAACTTATAAACAACATTAGATCTGCAGACGATACAGTGTTGCTGGCAGATAGTGCGTAGGGGCTCCAAAGATAACGTTGTAGAAGGATGTAACAAATACGGCCTTAAACTTAATTGCAAGAAGACAAAAATAATGATTAGTCATTATTAGTCAGAATAAGATGGGTCAATGTAGTCGTCAACATCTCTAGAAGATAGGCACATTTAGAAGAAGAAAAAAATTATTAAAAATATTCAAAAATAGCTATTTTATCGTTTATTTTGCAATAACTTTTTTGTTTATTAATCGATTTTAATTTAGCCTATCTCATTTTTTTGGGGTTTTTTCTAAAAAAATGTCTATTTACGTAAAATCTCTAGATCAGTGGTTCTTAACCGGTGTTTCGCGGAACACTAGTGTTCCGCGAATTCCTTCCAAGTGTTCCGCGAAATACTCGCAATCCTACATACCATTTTGCTAAACTACTCTTTTCAAATAAATATTTTCAAATTTTAAAATAGCCACTTACGTACATTTTAATTTAATAAAATTCTGCAGCGTAAATGTTCATTTGCCCAACGTGACAACACCGCGTCGGCACAGTGCACACGTTGGATTTTATAAGCGCTGATCTCCGCAGTGGCCACAGCCAATCTGAGTCACCCACGCCACAGTCTGCAACTGAATGTTGAATTTGTTACATTGCACAAACGTAATACGTGAAAATCGCTGTATCAGTTTTTTTATGATAACGTTTACGTACGGCTTATCTATCAAAGGTAAGTAATTGCATATTTTATACAAAATGTGAAGCATTCATCCGCATTATTTTGTTTAGAGACGAATAAATTAAAATGGATAAGTTCCTCAAACTTAAAAGAAAAACTACTGTGGAACAACTCATAATTAATGATGATGAAGTGAGCACCAGCGGAGATACTGGAACTTTACGAAGCGGGGTTGATGACAAATCGAAGCGCAGCAAAAAAATGTTGAACCGGCAATGTTTGGATGAATATTTGGATTATGGCTTCATTTGGACTGGGGAAGAAGACTGTCCAATTCCCAAGTGTATTGTTTGTGGGCAGACACTCGCTAATAGCGCAATGGCTCCGGCTAAATTAAAACGCCATTTTACTACCAAACACGCTAGTGTAGCTTCAAAAAATAAAGATTATTTCAAGCGACTTTTGGAGACACAAGCTAAACAAGCGAAACAATTTGAAAGGTCGCTAACAATTTCCGACAAAGCACAAATAGCTTCATATAAGGTCGCCGAATTAATTGCTTTGAAACAGAAACCACACACTGTTGCAGAATCTCTTATATTACCAGCATGTTGTGAGATGGTCAAAATTATGTTTGGCAATGATGCACAAAACGAAATACGGAAAATTCCTATGTCGGATGATACAATAAGAAGGAGGATTGTTGATTTATCTGCAGATATTGAGGAAAAAGTTACAAATAAACTTTACAAAAAAAACTTCGCATTGCAGGTCGACGAATCCACTGATATTAGTGGCAAAGCTCATTTATTAGGATTTATTCGATTTGTCGACGAAGGTGAAATAGTCAATCAGTTTTTATGCTGCAGAGAACTTACAGCACGTACAACAGGTCAGGATGTATTTGATTCCATAACGTCATATTTAGAGAAAAAAAATATATTATGGGACTTTTGCGTAGAAATTTGTACGGATGGTGCCCCTTCCATGGTAGGCTCCATAAAAGGTTTTTGTACGCTTGCAAAAAAGCGAAATGAAAATATCATATCTATGCACTGTTTCTTGCATAGAGAATCTCTAACTTCAAAAACGCTACCAGCTACTTTGAAATCTGTATTAGACCAAGTGGTTAATGTCGTGAATTACATCAAATCAAGACCACTAAAAACCCGTCTTTTTAAACAACTCTGCATCTCAATGGAATCAAAGTATGAATGTTTGTTGCTGCACACCGAAGTTAGATGGTTGTCAAGGGGCAAAGTATTATGTCGAATTTATGAACTTAGAACGGAGCTGTTAACTTTTTTCCAAGAAGAAGGTACATTTACCACATATTTTGAAAATGATGCATGGTGCACTAAAGTGGCATATTTGGCCGATATTTTTAATTATTTAAATGGCGTTAACTCAAGTATGCAAGGCAAAAATGAAAATATTTTAACATCCACGGACAAGCTGTCAGCTTTCCAGAAAAATTGTCATTTTGGAAGAAGCGCATTTTAGAGACAAATAAAATGGATATGTTTCCACTGCTTCAGAATGAAGGTGATGAAGATAAAGAACAAGAAATCACGCATATAGTTACAGAACACTTATCACTATTAGAGGAGACAATTGCCAGGTATTTTCCATCTCTGAACGTAGAAAAATATGACTGGATAAGAAGTCCTTTTAGCACAAATAATACAGCCAATTTCCAGTTTTCTCTGAACCAAGATAAAGAATTTATTTCGTTGTCATCTGATCGTACTCTGAAAATTAAGTTTTCAGAAGTGAATGTTCAGGAATTTTGGATCTTGGTCCAAGAGGAATATCCACTTCTTGCCAAAAAAGCGATTAGTATTTTAATACAGTTTTCAACGTCCTATTTACGTGAATTTGGGTTCTCATATTTAACAAACATTAAAAATAAGAAACGGGAAAGGCTGCTAAACTTAGAACAAGAAATGAGAGTAGCTCTTTCCCACATCAGGCCTGATATTGAGCAAATTTGCAAACGACACCTGGCACAAGTGTCTCACTAATTTGAAGTATTTACTCATATGATGTATTTTGAGAATTACGCTTTTGTTAATTTTAAAAATGTTTTTTGTTTTCATATTTTAAGTAAAATTTTACAAATTTGAGTACGTATAATAAAGTTTATTACAGAATTTATGTGCTAATCCTAATTTGTTTATCAATATATGCATTTTATTGCTTTGGTGTTCCGCAATTTTTTTCGGTAATTAAAAGTGTTTCGTCGCCACAAAAAGGTTGAGAACCACTGCTCTAGATAGACAAGTTTTTAAGTTATGGACAAAATAATGAGTTTTAACGTTTTGATTGTTAATATAAATATAGTTTCATTAAAAAATTGCTGAAATCCTAGATGAGAGTCTTTTTATCTCATAATATCTCATACTATACATTTCAACTGACAAACCCATCTATACAGTTATGACGAAAAAAAATTTGTTTTGCTAACTTGATTGGTCTATAATGTCATTTTCCTACTTTGCAATCGTGTCAAACAGCGTCCTTCGAATATTTTTATTGTAACTAAACAAGGATTAAAAATTTTCGCCATCGTTTTCAAGATTTTTATGCAAAAGAAATGTGACATATTAATATTTGAAAATCCTTTAAAATTTGATATTGTAAAAGCATCAGACAATTTACAAAAAGAATTAATTGATTTGCAATCTAACAATGTATATCAAAATAATTTTGATGAAAATAATATAATTACATTTTGCAAACAGATTGCCGACTGCTGTCGTACGTAATATCGTATACATGGATTTTACCTACCTTGTATTGTAATTTTCGTTTTCTGTCCAACTCTTCGGAAGTATTATCGATTTTCAAATGATCTGAAAAATAAGAAATAAAGCATTAATAACCTAACCAATTTATTTAGTAAACTAACGTACATTTCTGTACCAGTTCATCATCGTCCAACAGCAACGACACCACTTCCTTAGGCTTGAGTGTATCCGGTTTAAAGTTACCACCGCTAATGACCAATTTTTGAATCTAAAACAAATCCAAAATCAGAATAATTCAATCATTAATCTTCAACTCACTTACCTCGCTCTTTTCTCTAGCCCTTTGTAAGATGCGTTCTTCGATAGAACCTTTACAAATTAATCTGTACACCGTTACCTGCTTGGTTTGACCCAACCGATGGGCCCTGTCCATAGCCTGCTGGTCCACAGTCGGATTCCAATCGCTGTCATAAAAAATTACCTAAAAAAGCATATTCAAAATTGAACTATATAAAAAAAGTATATTATATACAACGAAAATATATTATTAGGATTATATTTAAATACATAATTAAAATTATCAATACTAGAGAGCGGCATTACTTTTACTAAAAATATGCAGTTCTAAATTTTCCTAAATATGCAGATGCATATTAAAAATACTCAAAAATAAAACAAAATATTAAATATAAACATTTATGTTTACACAATTTTAAAAAGTGAAAAAAAATATTTTTGCCCATAAAAAGATTCTTATACATTTTAGAGAAAAATACATCAAAAAGTTTTTTTGTATTGTAACCTTTGTTTAGAATGTTTAGCGACGTAATTACATACAAATATTAGTATTCATTCATTCATTCAGGATTGTACAAGGACACTTTTCAGAAACAGGGGTTCATCAGAGCGACTTCATTATAATACACAAGACATAAACCGCGGTTAGATTAGGTGGGCAACAAATAGGTACACATACAAAGGAAATGTCCATTCAAACGATTATATTTTATTCACACCTCTTATTTAATTTTTTGCAGAAATGCCATAGGTAATTAATTTAAAAAATTTTGTATGTTCTTCACTTAATAGTACATTTAACTTTAATGGTGTCTTTAAACCTGCTTTCAGAAATGCCTGAAGCAGCCACGTACTTGTATTGACATGTAAGGGACAATTAAAGACTATGTGATTAAGATCAGCTATACTAGTTCCACACTCACATCTGTCTGTTGGGAAAACTTCGATTTTTCGTAGATGCTTCGGAAAACATCCATGATCTACTTTTAATCTTAGGATGGTCAACTCTGTATTTCTACTTAGTGCAACAACTTTGTAAAATTGGTTCGCAGTCACTGTTGGTTGTAATGTAAACAAATTAGTGTCTGTAGTTTCACCGAACTCAATCCAACGTCTATCCCATTTAAATTTTATATGATGTTTTACATATACAAGAAGATCACATGTGTTAAATTCTTCAATCAATATATGTGGGTGCTTTAGCGGATTTTTATCTATTGAATTCGCAATACTATTGTTGCGTAACAATATATTAGTCTAGATTTATAAAATTTCTTTGTAGTAACTAATAATCTGTAAAGCGCCGATAGCTTGCATTCAAATAACTTTCTACACAAGTTTCTAAAACCTTCATAGAATCGTAACAATGAAAGGATTAGTATTTTCCAAATTATCCGTTTGACTCTGTAGCCAAATGCAAATTTCAGAGCTTGTGATTGGCTAAAAAGCAACAATATTGCGACCAATCACAATTTTGGAAGTCTGCTGTTCGACTTCTGTATTATCTTTGGTCAAAAATACAACAGACTTGTATCCAATGATAATATCAGGAATCGAGCATTGGCTATCGTGCTGGTTCATTGGCCAGCGGCCAGAAATGACCGTTGGAGATTGACCTAGATATTTTTCTATAAAAGAAACGCACGATGGCCGATACGGCAGACTGGGTCAGGATATGTCCGCCAGTCCAGCCTCCTCATGCATGTAGAGATACTCAGATAGATTCAGTTCTCTGAGCCTCAAACCCAGAACGACACGTTCTCATCTTTAATTTCACCTTTAAACCCGGAACCTCACGTTCCACCAGCTTAAACCTTTGGCGGAGTTCCAGCGTGGACTCTGTCGAATTGCGAGCGCAAATCCAAACGGCCATTCTAGAGGATTTATCTCTGCAATTCGACCTAGTCAGACTTGCTAATATCTCCTTAAGAGCGTCGCTATCCGTCGTCGAATAATCTGTGTTCTAAGACCTTGTCTAGATCTGATTACTTCGACGCTTTACAAGTAGTGTAAGAAATTGTTTTCTTCCAGGTATTCTAAGTTCCTTACTTTACAAGACTTAGCCACCGGACGACGTGAGAAATAAAGTAATAACATTGTGTTTTATTTCATTCCTATTTGCAATCTCTTTCAGGTACACTGTTACAATCTGTTAAAGTAGTTTTACAGGTACACTGTTAAAACCTGGTAAGTTAGTTTGCAGGTACACTGTTGAAAACTGGTAAGACATTTTAGGTCTGAGATATATATGTTGACACTTTGTATGATTTTATTACTTGTTCTCTTTCAGGAATAAACATACCTTATTTTCTAGGAATATCCTCGATATTCGGAAATTAACTTGTATTTTATTTCTTGTATCTATTTCTTATTTACAGGTCTCAGCGAAATTTCCGAAATAAATATTTCGAATTTCCTCCATAACAATTTTTACAGTGTAATACTTATACATTTTATTGTTGATATTGCCGAATGGCACTATACTAGACAGATCCCAGCTGGTTTCAGGGCCCTATCACTGTTCCTTCCTACCTATCAATTTTGACAGCTGGGTTTCTCTATGTTTATTAATATCAAATTTAAATATAAATCTGTGTATTGTTGTTTAATCTAATACGTTTCTTCATTACAGATTCTTAGGTTAAACTAATCGTATAATTATCCTCCAGACATAAGTGGTGGAATGCATAAAACGTAGTATCTGCTAATGCTTCAAGTAATTCTACATTTTTGTAGTACTTGCTACACTTACAAAGCATTTTGCTTTCCTCCGTAGTATTTACTACTATTTACCAGATACATAGAAGGATTTACTACGCTTTTGAAGTATTTGCTAGTTTAGTAGAATTTGCTTCAGTTTAGGTGAAGTTGGTAGATAAACAACTTCGGCTTAGGTGTTTTTTGTTATGTTTGTTAAATGGCAGCATTTATGAATGTTCGTCGTAGAATAATCTAGAAACCAGGAAGAATATACAATGATGATATTTATCGTAAAATATTCAGGTAATTATCATGAATCGTGCAGTTTTATTCATACAGTGCGCTGAAATAAGAGTAACCTCCCATATTAACTCATTCATTTTTAGTATATAAGCAAAACACTCGAAGAGGTCGATTTTTAAAATAATCGTAGTATATTATAGCATCAATGTTTCGAACTTTAAGCAATCTTTCTTCAGGTGACAGTCATAACTTTGATTTTTTAAATGGGAAAGTAGGAGAGTAGGGAGTGGGTAAGATTTATTTTAGCTTACTGCATATGTATATATATTTAGGTATTAATATAAAATTTTTATAAAAAGTTGAAAAATCACATGAAAAACTAGTCCTAATACGATTGGTGTGATCCGCGCAAAGTCACTACGGCTGGCATTACGTTTAGTAGTAGAACCTTCAGGTCAGTAGCAAGTACTTCGGTTGTGTAGTACGGTCTTTTCAACAAAGCACCTCCTTTTATGTAAAAGTAAATGCTACAAACCAGATACTATTTGCTAAAGCAATAGCATCTACTACTTTTTATGCATTCCACCCAAGGTCTGGAGCTAATTATAGTTGCTTTTTCAGATTCTTAGATTTAACACCCTAATTGTTACTCTATTTGATTTTTGCAATAAACGAAGCATTTTATTGTTCTTATTAAGGCAGATTTATTCCACAGCTAAAGGTGTCCATAGCAATCCACTATGGCCACCGACCGAGATCCTTATTCTCTTAGGTTCTTAGCAACGGAAAGAGCGTGTACGGAGCCTGGTCTCACGCCCGCAAGGATAGAGGCTTTTTCCCGTTAGCGACAACTCATTCGAAAATTCCGAAAGTTAAGACAAATACCCTTCTCAGGTAGTTTTTACCAATGAATTCAAAGTCGAAGGTATTTGAAATGTAAACATATCTTTTAAATACGTCGAGGGGCTCAGGGGGGAGATTTCTGAATATTCAGAAACAATAATTACGAATGTAGTGATGGACGGGAGAGAGTGGACATCAGTTCGCAGTTCAAATCCATCAAATTAGTATCAGTTCAACTTCCAGCTTTGGATGAGGCCTCTATTCGCGCAAGCCGCACCTAAAAAGCTTTAACACAGCCGTGATATTAATAAGTTTACTTAGTTCGGGTTAATATTGTATCACCGACAAGTGTATCGTATGCAAGTTATCGGCGTCCAAAATATGTTGTAATTGTTTAAATAGACTTGTTAAAACGTTCTTTTCGAGTCTTGTATTCGTCCCAGTTTTCAGGGTGGTCCTTCAAATAAGTACACAAAGTGAAACTATTTCTCTAAAGAAAAACCTTGTTCCCCAAGGGAAAAAACCAGCGACCTATGACTGGTGCGCGAAACAAAGCCATCAGGACAAGGTGTAAGGACAAACACACCTGCATCTTCGCTCAACTATTACCCAATATGTCTGAATGAATATGTATGAAAAAATGTTTAACGTATCTTATATATTAACACATACGAATTTAACATCATGATAAAGCTGATAATTTTAGTACTGTTGAAAAATTTTTAATATCAATAATATTGCTGTTAATTGTGACTTTAAAGTTTTGTAATGCATTTAATACTGATAATGAATCAGTGCACACGACAATTTTGTTCCACTGGTTTTCACAACACCATTCAAGGGCTTCACCTATATGAAGCGTGTGCTATATATAGCACACGCTTCATCGGAAAAGATGCTAGATTGATTATTTAAAGTAAATGTTTTTTAATGTTCATTTTTAGTACTATACAGTAAGGGTATAAACCCTTACATTGTAACGTTTTATAAAACATTTTAAATCATATATGGTGTCAAAGTGGGTCATGATACGAGCAGTTATATTTGGATTACATACACTTATTTTTATACACAAGCCCTTCCATTATATCACGTAGATTTAAAGTCCGATAGGGTAGCTCTGAGAGAATATATAAAACGCGAAAGATATTTATTATTGGATTATTATTGTATTTTTACTGTTCGAGATGTGTACATAACGTAACAAACTCCTCGTAGACCTATAACAATGTATAGCCCGATTATAGATATTTGAGAAATTTAAAAAGATAGACTAATTGGTGTACATGGGGTACCAAACAGTGCTTAGATCAAATGACATCTGTTTTAATAGTTCCTCTTTAATATTTTGAGTTGTTACAGGATAGTATTCAGAAAAACGCAAAAATAATTAATGTA